ACAACTAAACTCGCAAAGAACATTTTTGGAAAATCGCGCCAACCGTAAAAGAATATAAGCAGAGATATTTTTTTGTTTTCTTAACCCATTCTGGGTAGGCAAAGAGAACTATGCCCATACAGCCAAGTCTTCAATAGAATTCTTTTTATTTATTATATGAAATATTTATGAAATGAAATTAAACCTAACCTAACTCATTGAATCAAATCATTAACGTTGACAGTAAAATATTTTCTACTATATAAAAATTTATGTTTGATCGTATTTTCTACGATGCCACACCGTTCATCAGATTGCGGTAAAACTTAGTCAACTTAATGGTTGCACTTGTGCGAAGGTTATACGCATGGTACAATTAACTGACACTAGGTGGCGTGCGTATTATACTGACTATTTATTTAAAAGTTATAGAAAGTTATACATCGTTCTATTTCAATGATTGTATTATCATTCCTAATTATACAATATAACTGTTCCACATTTTTAACGATATTTCCACAATACTTCTTCTGCGGCAGCAATACGCAAGCTAGCAAGATAATATAAAAAAATATAAACTTTGAATTACATAGTTATCAGTTATTTACAACGTCATTTTCGAAATTAAAATTACAATATAAAAAAATTACTGAAATTATCAATTACCGAGCCCGATATGTGAATGGAGCCAGGGAAAAACGAGCACTTGGAAGCATCAAGTGGTGCAGCCTCACCAAATTCGCGAAAGACAGTCGAGTGGCGCATCGCTAATCGCCATACCAACACTCCTCTACCCTTACGACTCCACCTCGACTAAAGCGGTACAGGGAGAGGAATCTCCTCTAGCCGCAGCCCACTAACACACATCCAACGTGGCTCGACATCATCAGGCGACCTTTCGACACTTGGCTATGGCCCTTGAGTTTGGTGGAAAATGAGGAAAGAAGAAATAAAAAAAACATTCGAAACAATAATCTAATACTTAGTACTTGGTAGTTGGTAGTACTTGGTACTGATACTACCAGAAAATATTGTCGGTATACTGCTCTTTTTAAAAGTGGTGCAGTTCTCATGTCTAATAAAACAGTCGTCTGTGAAATTTTACGCACCCTCTCATTATTATTAAAAATAATTCTTATTATGGAACTAAAATTATACACAATGAAACAACATAAAATACTTTCGTTTTTTGGTTTAAAAGTTCAAAATACAGATTTATTAAATATGACAATATGAATAAGACAACAAACTTTGACATATTATGTCAATTTTATTTTTCAAGACATCCCTTAGCGGCGCTTCAAATTGGCACAGTCATTTTGTATGGTATAGCCAGTCCAGCGTACTTGTATATATAGAGGTCAGTGCCCATTACCCACTCTTCCCCTATGATGTATAATTCTTTAATAAAAATTCATCTTGAATACGCATCTACGGTGTGGAACTTTATTTATGCTACTTATGTAGAACAAGTAAAAAGGATTCAAAATAATTTTCTGAAAAGACTTAGTTACTTTAACGATCGTTCTGAGCTACATCAGTCATAAGAATTACGACGTGAACATATGGATTAGGTGTTTTTGTTTAAACTTTTACATAACTATATAGATTTCCCCTTCCTTCTAAGTCGTATTTCATTTAGAGCCCTAGGTTGAGTGCTCGCTCCAACGCAGTTTTCTCTAGGTACTCCTTTTTGTTGAACTAAGTATTCGAAAAATCGGTTTCTGATCGGTGCTTGCACAACACACATAATGAGCGTTATAACATATTAATATATTTAACTCCAAACTAAGCGGTTATATTTCATCTATTAAGCCATTTGATCACGCTTAATCGGTGTTTCCTCTCTGAATATAAAATTACCTTTACTAACACTGCTATAAGGCATGCATTAAGTATGTTTTTCTCTTTGGCAAAACACAAATATGTACATCATTTAAATATGTCTAAAGTTTTCGCAATGTAATTCTTCAAGTTGGAAACTGTTCTGGCTAATGTATTGTTAACATTTATCTTACATTCAAATGTGATATAAGCGCTGTAAGTTTTTATGAATAAATAAATAAAAAATATTGTTTTTTACAGATGAATACATTTTAAAATAGTGATTACCTTATTGCAACAGAAAACAAGCAAATGGAAGCAGGATAATATTTTTGACGTCAAAGATCTGTTAATAACACTCAGATGTAACATTAAATACGGTCACAAGACTATTATTATTTTTATTCAAATCCCTACTCATGAATACATTTTAATAATACATAATTAAAGGTAAAAGAAGTGTAGGGCGGCCCCAACTAGATGGCGTGACGACCTGGTAAGATATGTAGGAAGTCGATGGGTTGACATGACCTTACTTTGTGGCATTCTTTAGGGGAGGACTATTTTCAGCAGTACACTTGTGAATGGCTGTAATAATGATGATGATGATAATGATAATTATATTTGTTTGTCTGTCCGGACTTGTCTCCGAATAGCTGAACCAATTGTATCGAAACTTCACGATCAGTTAAAGAAAAATTTTATCCGAAAAACTTGGCGTATGTATTGTAAAATCAAAAAATTGGTAAAGTAAATGGTCAATGATGATTTAATGACCATATTAGTAGATCGAGGCTGGTCGCTAGGTATAAATAAGAAAGTGTCTTTATTGGTTTGTAATTCTTTCACACACTAACATGGTAACTGACTGATATGGTTTTGAATACAGGATCGTTTATGGGCCAACGAGTGGCACAGGCAACTGTTATACTGGAAAAATGCACGGTTTGTAGGACTGATCTCTAATTGTGTCATTACCTAAAGCAGCATAGGTCTTACAGGTGCTTCAGGTCTTTAAGAATAACAATGGCTATGACTTTTAAAAACGATGTCCTTTACTGATAACACGCGTGCGTAAAAATGAATATTTCTTAGTTTATAATCTACAAGTTTTATACCATTCATCCCATTCTGATGAAACTTTGGTGAATCATGTCAATGATATTATAAGAAAAAGAGGTAGATAGGTTATACACGCACCGCATGTGGCACGTAAAAACTAGGCTAATTAGCAAACCTGAGCTCAGTCGTCGCGCTATCGTCGCGTCATTGACAACGGCGTGGATAGTAAATCGTGTTTTGTTTTTACACCGAAAATGCCGTCATATGTGATGAGATTCTGCACAAACCACACAAGAAAGGTTTCCAAACATTGATTTATATGTTACACAATTACACAAAATATACTTTCTTAATATAAAAACAATTAACTGAAGCTTAAAAAAAACTCATTTTTATTGCGTATTTTTTTTTTTTTTTTTTGCGCCCGAAGCAATTAAAGGGCTACCCCGTACGTAGGGAGGCGGAAAATGCATTACGCATACCACGATAGCCGGTCTATCGTGGTTATGGGGGACTCACTGTCCTACCGGGGACCCTAAGTGATACCCCTAAAAACCGCCTTTAGGGACAGGCAACCGGCTGATTAAGCTCTATTGTGCCTTATCATGAGCGACCCTCTTTTGGGAAAAGAGGGCGCAGGCGGCTAAGTGCCGCTGAGGGAGTGCCTACGAAGGCAAATTAATGTCAGATATTACAATAATTTTATTTAATTAGAGTTGGCCTGAGCCGCCAGGAGACAGTTCAGGTCGTTTGAGAGTTTATTAGGCGGGTCCGAGAGAGAGTTTCTCGGCCTGCGGAGGTTTATTGCGTATTTTAGGTAAAATTTTATATAGTAAGCCACACCAACCCGCCATTGCATGTTTGTGTGTCTATCTTTATCTAATTTTAGCGACGATATTGTTTACGTAACTTGTGTAAGTGAGATAGATATATGTTTATTTAAAATTGTTATTAGTTTCAAAGCTACGTCGTCGCGTTTGGATAGTGGTTACACATTTTTCGACGCGCGGTAATGTGGTTTGCTCCTCTAGTGTTGTATAACTCAATGTTTCCAAAAGTCAAAAGGAATCATATTTCATTCGTTTACTATTTTCTTAATTTATTTTCGTATTGTTTACGAATTGAGAAACTACGTATTTTAAAATATATTGTCAGAAAAAATAGAGAGAGAGATAAAAATACCCCAATAAATGAGTTTGAAAGAGAAGTAATATTGTTCTGATCAAAGAATATAAAAAGCAGATAGGTCTCTTCTGAGTATCGTAAATCGTAATTCAAATTGTGTACATATAATTCTTGTTTTATTGAAGGGTAAATTACCTATGTCATTATTAATTAGTTCAATTTATTTGTTTTGTAGCGTAACGAAGTGATATATATGTTCGTATAAAAATAATTATTACAGCACATTATTTGATAATAAATTTTTAATAAAAAAAATTATAAAAACGTTTCACTTCAGTAAATCTTTAACAGTTAGTTTGCCGAGGCCTCCCAGACAGTAATCTTAAGATACTTGTGTTGGGAGAGTCTCGCTCTTCCTACGTAATCGTATAAACTTAGATTTACATCAAAATATCAAAATTTTAAACTTAATAGTGCAGTTATTCATGCAGTTTAAAATGAAAGAAAGAAGCTTAATAATAATAAAATCAATATTTTTTTATTTTCCTACTTATGATGCATTTTTACTACTTTATTACTTGCACTCATGAGTGAATCGCGTTTTAGGCATATATCACGGTATACGGTATAATGTCATATCTGATTAATTATTCTACATCGTTCCTACTACACAAGACCACGCACTGTCGCAGATAACATTTGTCTCTCTTACGCTTGCGGAAGTTTAATCATGCCATCTTACTTTGACTTTTTTACTTATAATATCATTGAATCATATTATGTACACTTCCGCGAAGATTTCTGACCTAAACATGAATTTTTGTTTGTTTGTTGGCTTACTTTCTATTGCTATTTATCAGATTATATTAAAGTCTTTGGCGCAAATATTTCTATAAAAAAGGACATTGAAATGCATGCCGTGCATGGCTCTTGTTTAATAAAAAAATCATTGCATTTCCAATAAACCATATATTCTATATTTATATTATAATAAATTTTATTTAATTATTTCAAACTCGTATTTCTGACATATTTTCAAGACGATTCGAATCTGAAAAAGAAATAAAATCAAATTAGCATTTATAAATCTAATAATAAAAACTATTAGTTCTTAATACAATATATTTTATTAATTTATAATTTATTTCGGGCTAGAATGTCCATAGAGTGTTAGTAATACAATGAAACTTAAAAACTTTGTTAGTAATACACATGTACAGAAACAAACTGTAATAAATTATCCTATATGTAGGCGAATCCAGTGCTCCAGATAGGACTCAATATGTTCAGCAATGACCCTCAGGTAGCTGTTAGGACTGTCTCTCACTCTGCGCAACAACGATGCTGCTCTTTTTCTAATTACGGCATAATAGCCATCCACTTGTGAATCTGCAAACACGCTGACGCACTACAATAGCGAGGAATTCCCATAGACATCTTGAAGGCATTGTCGTACTGAACTCTCAGAGCGCCCACGATCTGCTGCGTACAGTTGGCCCACAGGCTGGAGGTATAAAATGATTGGCAGAAGGCCCTAAGCATTGTTGTTTTGACTGCTTTTGAACACCTAGCAAACCTACGAGCCAGCATATTACAGTGAATCGTGAGCCCCCTACGTTCACGTTCCACGTCTAGGTCACCAGTCAGGTTCTCATTCACAACATGGCCTAAGTAAACAAACTAAGGGACTCGTCTTAAGGCAACTCCATCTAGTGTCCCAGGCGGTACATACTCCTATGAAGGATTCATTTGCTCCGCTCGAAACACCAGCCACTCGCTTTTTTGACATTATATGTCAAACCATGTGTTTCAGCATATACCTCACACACACCCAAGAGCCTACGTAAGGCACTTATCGATGGGTTTAACAACACCATATAATCGGCGAAAATAATGTTGTAGACTATATGATCATCTATGGAACAACCTACACCGTTGTTGTTGATCTCACGAACCTGGTCCTTTACGGATATTGGAATATTGAGTTAAATTAGTTAATTTGGGATATTTTTACACAAATATCCCTTTTATAAGGCAATATATGTGGGAGGCCTCAGATCAGAAGTGAACTATTATACTGTAATGAATAAAGGAATAAATCAACATTCAACGTCTCGCCGTTCCTCTGAATAGCATTAAAAGAAATTATACTTTTAAAAGGTAGATCCACACTTTTTTATATTAATATAATACTGCGAAAGTGGTTTTTTCAACTTTATCACGCTAATATTCAGAACTACCAGTTCGATAAAAAAATGTTTTTAAGTATTATAGCTAGATTCATGAGGAATAATATAGGATATCCAGCATTAGGCTATATCTCTTAGCTAGCAAGGTAAATATTGATTTTTGTTAGGTAATTAAGAAAAAAAGTGCAATCGAAATAATTTATTCGCATGCGCTAGTGTAATGGTTAATGTCACATAAACAACATGTTCTAAAAAAATGTAAGTCCTTTCTCCATATGAAAAAAGGTTGCGATACCTTATACCTATTTCTTACACACAATAAGGTATTTTGTGACAAAAAATTATTGAAACTGCCCGATAAGAAACGAGAAAAACCAGCAGTAAGGTATGAGCGAGGTTAGTTCAACGATTTTAACTAAAAAATTGGCAAAATTAATGGAGTATTCTATCTTCATATGTGAGTTATAGAGCGAAGTTAAATTTTATCCACTCTCCTTCCCCCTCCTAGCCGAACTTCACCCCGAAACGATTCGACTCGACATTCGACTTAATGGTACGGTTTTCTTTAAAAAGTGAAAAAAACCACGTTCGGGATACTTTCTGGGGCGGGGGGACACGCTCACGGGGGAGGGGGGAGGGGAGTGGATAAAATTTATTAATGAAATATAATAAATACTAAAAAAAATAAAAAAAATACTAAAATTCTTGTCACGTCGCACATAAATTTTAATATTTTATTAATAAATGAAACCACGAGGGTAGAGCTAGTTATCGAATAAATACTAACAATAAAAACTATAAATATAAAAAAAAAAAAAAAAAAAAAAAAAAAAAGAAAAAAAAAAAATTAAATTTCTAGAAGTGTGTGGGGAAACACGCCACTAAACTACGCGTCCCGCAGCATGCTTATTATCAATGGAGCCATTGGTTTATTGGGAGCGGATGATACTTACTTTTACTTTGTTCGGAAGGAACACAAACATTGTTCTTGCGACAATAATTTTCAATACATCGGCACTGCGGCCGGCACGACACTACGATACCGATGCGACCAAATTTCGGACATTTTCCGGAAGAAGTTGCTGGGCTGCAGTCATCGGTAGGGCAGTACGGCGGACAAGCGACAAACATTTCGTTAGGGCCACACGGAAAAGGTGCTACGTCAAAAAATAAAGTAAATATGTTGAAAAAAAAAAAAAGAAAAGATTTAAAAAAAAAAAAAAAAAAATAAAAAAAAAATTTTTGGACAGTAATATTCATTTTTTCATATTTACGGCATTGACTTGTAGGGATGCAAGTCCCGTTTTTAGCGCGGCTGTAATTAAAACGGCATTCACAGCGTTGAGGAAGCTCATTATCCGATGAAATGGAAGCTGGACAAGCATTTTTCACAGCCTTTTTATTTACAGGACAGTACTGATCACCGCATGGCGAAGGATTTTCCACGAGTACTTCGTTCATTTGACATTTTATATTAATATTAAAAACGAATTAAAAGTAAATATTAAAAACGAATTAATTAGAATTAAGATGTTGATAACGAAATCAATAAGTGTAAACCATTTTACTTATGATGTGGTAGAGCCACGTTGATTTTTAAAAGAAAAGCTAGAAAGTGCAGCTATACTATGTCTGCATCATGAATCCGGTTCAACCGGGGAAAGACGCTTCCACTGAATACCAGCTTACCATTGCAGCTTAATGCTACTGTGTTTCGTATGCTGAGTTTGGAGAACCAGATATCTTTTACACTTGTAACGAGGGATTCTATATAATCCATCACGAGTGACAACAATTCTTCATTCTGATTTTTAATTAAAAATGGATGAAGGTGTCTATGGACCTTAGCATCAACTTATATCATACGATCAATAAGTTCGTCTATCACCCTAAAGCTATAAAAACACATAAAAAGCATGACAACGCAATGTTGGCTTTTTTATGTTGATGGATGTCACCTCGGAATGCAGTAGCCACTTACTATGAGGTGGATTGTAAATTCGTTTGACACTAGAGCTTTGCAAAAAACAGGTTGCATACACTATCTTAGTAGACACCACTGACTTAGAAGTAGTAGACACGGGGAACATCACAAAACCTTCAGATCCGAATACCAACAGTTAAAAAAATTAGATCATAAACACCGGTAGTGCAAGTAGCCTAAACAGTGAGAGTGTAAGTGAAGTGCAATCCGTGTGTGTGTAAAGCTTTGTGTCGACAGTGCATAACTTAATGTGCGCACACATGTGCAGCGGTGTTCTAAAACCCGTGGAGCTGTAAACATTTTGCCTGGCTTCTTTATTATCACATATTTATGTGATTCTGGTACTTTTCGTTTTTATTAACGTGAAAGTTTGACACGTTTGATCAGGTGTTCCTTGCAAAAAGGTGTCTACGGACATTATTAACTTCTGAGTATTTATGAAACCCTGGTACCAGTAACTTTATATATATATATATATATATATATATATATATATATATATATATATATATATATATATATATATATATATATATATAACCCTGGTATGTTGATCACTAAAAGTGTAATAATCACTTTCAAATACACACCTTAAAAAATTAAATAGTAAATAGAAATCTTGAGCATAAAACAGGAAATTAAATCTATTATTAAATCATTATTTAAGGAACAACAGGAGGAACTTTGAAAGATTAAACCTACCCTCATTCGTATAATAGAAACAAATGGTAAAATTAAAAAAAAATTCGATTGAATTGCTTTGGCAGCAAAATGAAGAGTTTAAGAAGAAAACAGCTACTTCAGAATCCCAGTCTAAGGAAGATAGAGATTATATCAAGTTTCTGGAAAATAAAATATAAAATGAGAAGGAACACACGAAAGCTAATTTTGAATTAAAAGTGTACCAAAAAAGAATCTGAATATGAATCAGATCTTATAAAAATGGTAGAATCGCTGTCTAAAAACGTCAGTTCGGATTTGAATACGTAAAGGACATATAGAGTACGCAGGAAATAGGAGGGTCTTAGAATACACCTATTGTTGTTGAAACAGCATCCCCTCTTAATAAAATGGATTTTCTCGAGAAGTGTAAGATATTTAGTTAAATGGACAACTCAAAACTCCGTGGGAAACATTTTTGTATTACTACCTCCGAGGAGACCCCAATATTTGTATGTGAACAATTAACTCCTAAAGCTGCCCGACTCTATTATGTTACCAGGGATGTAATTAAGTCTACGGATTATAAATATTGGTGGACCAATAATGGCAATGTCTATATTAGAAAGGATGATGAATCCACGATTATCACAATAACTTCTGAAGCCAAAATTCATAAACTGTTTAATGTAAAATGTCTAGTTTTGATGTCTTTGTTTATAATTATCATTAACACAGCAATTAATAATCATCTAAGTCTATTACTAGTTCTATCAAAAAGTAAAGATAAATCTGTACAAACTAAAACTAAATTAATAATAAATTACAAAAAAGCCTACAATGTTTTGCTTGAAAAAAATTAAGCTAGTGTGAAGACCCTAACCTATTTATTGAACAGCTCACTCAAAAGTTAAAAAAATCACTAGATGAGTCTAAAACTACTAAGTATCTTCCAAAAAACCAGCGAACTATAAAGCCTTGGATCATTACAGGTATTTTGCGTTGTATAAAGAGCAGAAATTAAATGCAGTTTAAACTAAAGACTGACTCAATATAATATTTTAAAAATACCATTTAATAGATATCGTTATTATTGCTGATAAATGTCTTGCTAAGGTCTCTATATGGCTTAGACATAATTTACTAACACTAAATGTTAACAAAACTAACTATATCTGCTTCACTATAGATAAAAGAACACAACTCTCTATTGAAAATTCTTCGTTCTCGGAGATTGAATGTTAAAGTCATAGAATAATCACGATTAAAGTTTTTTTAACGTTGTTTATTGCTTTTTGCAAATTCTTGTTGAAATAGTTTTTGCTTAGTGTTTAGTAAATTTAATTGTAGGATAAAATAGTTGAAAAAGCTTGAAAGTTATATAAAAATTATATATATTATGTATTACCTATTTGATAAATTATAATGGCTAAACGTCGTTCCTACTATAATTGTTGCGTGGATGGATGCTAAATGTCCAACAAAAGGTTTCAAATATATCGTTATTTAAGTTACTGAAGGATTTTAGTATCAAGCTATGAAAGGTGAATTTATTTTTGGATAGGTACATAGCAAAAATAATTAAATAATAATTTATCTACAGAAGTAATACCTAAGTACTATATTACAAAACTTAGTTAAAATTTTATTCACTAACAACGCGATAACCTCTACTCTATCTTCTTTCTTCGACCACTCCATATTTGAAAATGAATGAAATTTAACGTCTTTTTATTTTCGGCAAGCGCAAACGTTATAGGTATTTTTAAAATTGGTGAAGTTCATCTAGCCGGTATTCAAAAATTTTCAGTAATAAGGTTTTGACAGAACTTATGACTTGACTAAGTATATATAATTTTTAAATTACGTATACCTATTTGATCAATTGTAATGGCAACAAGTCGTTCCAACTATAACTGTTGCGTGGATAGATGCTAAATGACCAACAAAAGGTTTCAGACATTATCATTCCTTAAGTTACCGAATGATTTTAGTAGGAAGTTATGAAAAGTGAATTTATTTCATTTTAGGTACTTTTTTACTTCAATATCCAAGTATCTACTTACATAGCTATACTTGTCTTTTGTACAAAATACTGAAATTAAAACTCTGTTTACTGACAAGATTTTTAACTAAATAGAATACAATCACATTTCTGTTAGGAATCGTATTTTAGGTTTATTTGTTGTTTACACTATCTACCTATTTCTTCCGAGCCAAGCATCGCGATTCATAACGACAGGTCTTGCAAGTTCCATGCGTTGGGCATCACAGAACTCACATACGATTAGGTGCGAAAATATGGTCAATCGATTATAGTCAGAATAGGTACTTCACCTAAGTACCTTAATTAACATTTCGCAATATATTTTTTTACTCATTATTGACAGTTAGTAACCAGACCCTTAGTAACCACGGAAAGTCCGCCGTGATATATATAGGAAGGGGAAAAGATGCAAAGTAATATCGACACTCACGCGCAGGGATAATAATAATTGTGTAGGCAAGCAGTTAACATCAAAGAAGTGCAATTTCCGTAGGTGTTGCTCTAAGGGGTCAATTAATATGTCTTATCCAAAATGAGTTTAGCCTCTATATAATATACGATTTAATCTAATTATAAATAAAATTAATAATTAATAACTAAAATTTTAAAAATCGTGTACCGGCGACTACGAGCAATCGATTCCGAGCAAAGGACCACGACATCTACCATTATTAAGGGCAATAAGGGCATCACGTAGTTGTAAACTTACTGTTGTGGAAGAATACATTTATTTCTCATCCTAATCGCCATATTTACTCATCCCGCATATAACAATATAATCTAATTCAATAGTATTTAATATGTCATCGATGTGTATAGCATGTTATAATATATACAACGTTTATAAAAATACGTTAGAATATTTATAATAATAAAAACTATTGTATTTAAAAAAAAATTATTTTAACCTTTAAACAATATATTATGCAGCGAACCAGAATTTCAAATTGCATGTCATTAAAACATTATGATCAGAAAACGATTCTTGATGTAATTGAAATTAATAATAAAATAGTAAAGAATTATTATTAAAATATGGTTAAAATTATAAAAACGTAAAATATTTGTCATTGTTATACTTTATAGCATTAATGACCAAATACTTAAACGCTACTTAGTTTTAAAATGTCGTAGTCTGTGGGGTCACAGACACTTTGACTTAAGAAGATACCATGAAAATCGTAGTTCTGGGGGTGTGGCTATAAGAGATACCTTTGTCGGTGAAGCTCGCGGACGCTGAGGGAGTATCAAAATGAAAGTGATGCAATGACTAGTGTTTAAAGTTGAATTTGAGTTGAGTTGAATTCGATGTTGTGTTTAAAGTTGAAATTGGCACTAAAAGGCTGGTAATAGGGGCATCCACCCTACAAAGCGTGAATATAAAATTTTAATCAGGTGCGTGTAATCACTCTGGGAGCTTGTAGCAAACTAAACGCGCGCCCAACGTGTGGACGCGGCGGCCAAACTCTGCCAACAATCCTTTGATCTTTTGTAAAAAACCTACACCAAACGGATCTCGCGCCAACTTGTGGGCCATCATTCCAATACTTACCAATGAAGCCCAAAGACCCGCTCTACACAATGGCCAATGCTATTGGCCACCACATTCGCCACTGTGTTGGCCAACGTGTAGAGCCGCCGTAACAGCAACGACAATCAAACAGTCTATACCTGATCGTTCTTCACTCTTATGTAGTATAAAAACAAACTTGAAAAGTCGGTACCTATATTATATCCTCTCATACCTGGAAGTACTATTTCGCCTTTAATTGTACTGCATACTGTTTCAGCCGGTATAGCAATAATATCATTTTGTTCAGTGTTATCATTTATTGTTTTAGAGAACGTTGAAGACACCCAGCGATATAAATATCTCTCAAAAAGAAAACAGTCTGCTGAAGTACCAGAGTCCCATTGATCTTCTCCATTTTTTGAATGCTGGGAACAACGTTCTGGAAAAACAAGATAATTTCATAAATAAATGACACGTTTTTGTTATAAGAGCACTTACTTTATAGAGACATTCATTATTTGAATTAAGAGATGGTCAAGTGTTGAGTAGAAGATTTTTTATATAAAATCGTTCTGTATCTATATTATGGTAGTATCTCGAATGAGTCAGCTCAACCAAAGAAGGACCACGCTGCCACGTTATTTCTTTACCAATTAATTTATTTAACCATGTAGTGGCGGTCTAAGAATACCCAATATCATCCCGGGGGTGTCGTAAGAGGCGACAGAGGGAAACAAATCAGGAGATGGTCAGCAGTGTCTTCCTAATAACGACTAAAAATAAAAAAACTGCGGTTGCCAACCAGCTTGCCAAGCGTGCCAACTATGGCAAATATCCCCCCTATGAGGCAATATGTTAATCAGTTGACTTTAGGTTATAACGGTAACGTTTATTTTGAATTTAACAATTATTTACACACAAAGTAATGTTACAATGTAAAAATAAAAAGATATTTTGTATAAAGGCACAGCTTATTTCATATTATTTAAATATCTTCCAGCAGACCCGATACTGGACAGATTCAAAAAATAACTTATAAGACAGATTCAAAGAGAATCTTAATAATTATTATAATAAAGCTACACAATAAAGTAAAGATAATAAACACTCTTACGTATATGCATCTTTCACCTTTTTAATATTTAAGTAAGATTAGAGTGACAAATTAGGTAACTAACATCCTGACGGTAATCGGCTAACTTCAGTTCATGGACATGAACAAACAAAACAAAAAAGGTCCAGATCCGTTGTCACCTTTGAGGGCTAAGATCCCTTCCCATCCCAAACGACAAATAAACTTGCTCTTTGTACTCTTTAAACCGAAACAACAGTGAACGCAAATGGTATCGTGTCCACGCAGGTGTTAAGGGGATGTAGCAGACGCGGGCGGGCGATCGGCGCGTCGGGCCCCGTTGCGAGTCCGGCTAAATGCCTTTTTTTTTCCTCCGGAAAGCGGGGGAAGGAGGCAGTGAATGCTCATAGCATACCACGCAGCCGGCTGCGTGGTTATGTGGAGACTTTTACCCAATAAACACGGCCTTTATGGATTGGCTTACTGATCTGACAAGAGATCTTTAAACCGTAAACGGACGTGACCCTCCTTGGCAGAAAGAAGGGTGCAAGCGGCGAAAAACCGCTTAAAAGTGTGCCTAACTAAAGCAGATTAAGGGGTGTGTTAAATAGGCTCGGCCTGAGCCGCCAAGAGGCAGTTCAGGTCAGCCGAAAACTTGTTGGGGGGTCCGAGAGAGAGTTTCGCGGTCTGCGCACACTATAGCGAGTGTGAAGACGAGCTGCATAGGCAGCTGTCTCACGAATGAGGTGATTTGAGTGGGACTCTGAGGCTTTGAAAAATCTCTCAGAGAATGTTTTGAGGAACTGTTGAATTGTTGGGAGCTCTAAAGTCTCGGTGGAGGTCGGCATTACGGACATAATAGGGCGAGTTCGTGTCCCTACATTAGAAGAGATTTTGAACTATTTGAAGTTCATTTATAATGTTGGGTTTGGCATGTGCGAAAATGAGGGCCGCGTAGGTCATAACATGTCGTATACAGACCTGATGAGATATAGGGTTCGCTTGTTACGGAGGGACATTTTACTATGTCTGCCCAACATGCTGTTGAGCCTACCCATGTAAAATCGTGCGGTGCGAGTAACTTTCTTGATATAAGGCTCAAAAGTGAGCCCTGCATCAAGGGTGACGCCTAAATATTTGGCTTTTGTTTGCCATGGGACAGGAGTTCCTAACATCCTGATTGGCGAAATGATAGTGAGATGGCGTCGTTTATGTTCGAAGCAAACGGTGGAGCTCTTCTCCGGGTTTACGTCGATGCGCCATTTTTGGAACCAAGCTCCTAAGTCGTTAACTGACTTTTGGATCTTGTTCCGAATCTGTAGCAGTGAGTTGCCTTTGGAGTAGAGGGCTGTGTCATCTACGAAGAGAGCTCGTTTAACACCATTCGACGGGATAGGTATGTCGTTGGTGTATAGTATGTATAGGAGGGGGGCAAGCACAGAGCCTTGAGGGACACCGGCTTTGATTTGACGCGTAGAGCATAGCGTGCCTTCGTGTCTAAAACGAAAGGTTAACGATCCTTCAAATAGGAGGCTACGAGGCGTACAAGACGGTCAGGGAGGCCTAAGTCGTACAATTTGTAGATAAGGCCTTCATGCCAGACTCTGTCGAATGCCTTGGCAATATCGAAAAAGACCGCGATGGTCTTCTGACGACGAGGATAAAAAACGCTGAGGATATATTCCACTGTACGGTGAACTTGCTGGGGGCACGAGTGTTTGGCTTGAAACCCAAATTATTGAGGGATGACATGAGGGTCGCCGTCTGTGGGAAACAAATGGCGCCTCGTGCGTATGAGAATAACTCTTTTGAAAAGTTTCACATGGCCTTGAGGAGGCTGATGGGACGGTGATTGGAGGGGATGTGGTGAGGTTTGCCTGGCTTGGGAATGCCAATGACAGTTGCCTCTTATGGGAAAATAGCTGAAATCGAAGCAGGCGTTGAAGATTATAGGCCAGTAAGGCGATCACCTGCTCCGGAAAGTGTTTAAGGGCTTGGTTGGAGATGCCATCTGCGCCCGGTGCTTTTTTGGGCTTTAGTCCTTTGATGATTGATGAAATGTCATCTTTGGACACAGTGATAGGGTCAGAGGTGGTGGGGGGTGAGTTCCGGCGGCGGACCTCGTCCTCCACTTCTTGTATATGGGAGGGGTCAGTGGGTTGTGAGCTGGGAGAGCATTGTGCGGCAACGGTGTCGGCGAAGCACTTAGCCTTTTCTTCGTCCTCGAAGGCAATAGAGCCGTCGGGACGAGAGAGAGGAGCGGTATGAGTATGAGTGATAGCGTCTATCCGGAGGGCTCTCGCCATCTGGTAGTACGCTGTATGGGAGGGGGAGATATTCTCCATGAGATTGCCCTTTTCGAGTTCTCTGAAGTCGTTGAGGCGGTAACGAAATTTACGTTGAAGACGGTGGGCCGCGAGTCTATATTCGGGAGTGGGATAGCGTGCAGCTCTACGGAGGGTAGCTTTTTTGGCTTTGATCAGGTTGCTATATCTAGAGAAGACTAGTTAGCAACCGAGACGACCTTTTCATTCTCCTTTAGGTAGGATTTTATAAGTGTTGTGAGATTTTCGACCGTGGTGTCTATTTTTCCCGTACTGTCGGTACGGAAGAGAGGGTTATGGGAGGGTCCGGAGAGTCCATAGCTGAGGCTAGCCACCCTCCCAGGTGTATTTTGGAAGTGTGAGTAGGAGGTGGCTGATGGCCAAGGAGAAGGGATACAGGACGGTGGTCAGATCCTAGATCATCGAGAGACTCGATTGATTGAAGGTTAAGGGAGACTCCTTTAACTAGAGCAAAGTCTAGCACGTCAGGAGCATGGTTAACATTATCGGGATAGCGAGGTGACAGCGAGGGGGCTGTAGTCAGTCAGGTCGAGAGATTGAACGATATTCAGCAGCACCTTGCCACTACTAGTAGTAGTTAGGCAAGTCCATTCAGTATGCTTGGAGTTAAAATCTCCAAACATAATGACTGAATTGCCTAATAATGCAAGAATAGCTTCGAAATCGCTCTTAACCGGAAGGACTCCGCTAGGGATATAGCAGGAGGCTATGATGATAGACTGGTGTCCAGTCATGGCTATTCTAGTTATAGTGGCTACCATATTGGTAAGCGTCGGAGTGGGGATGACTAGCTGCTAGCAATATTCCGTTTATCTACTCATGTGGCTATAGCGATGAGTAGGGATGGGCAAGTGCAAAACTATATCGATATATATCGTATAGTTATTTTTAAACAGTATCGATATATTCACCTGATAAATATCGATATATCGTAACTTTTTTTATAATGTAGTCCGATAGGGCTCAAAATTGTATTACTAGACGGTTGGTGGACGAAAAAAAGACAACGACACATGAATGTTTTTGTAGCTTCTTTTGTTGCTTAATGTTTTGTAGATTAATACAACATCTCAAAATATATCGAAATTAATATGAATTCGATACTCCACGATAAATATTGAATATCGATATATCGCGATTTATAAATATCAATGATTTCTAACAGTGGTAGAGCCACGCGGCAGCTTTGCTGCACGTATGGGCCGGCTCAAACCGGGATGATACCACGACCTCACAGAATACCGGCGTGAATTGGAAGCTCTGCTTCCGCGTTTCGTCTGGTGAGTGCAGGTGGCCGGAGGCCAAACTTCGCCCCGCCCCCATCAACATGGTAGCGAAATTAAAAGATAGACTACCCCAGGAGGGTACCAGCCCCCCTGGAGAATCCCTCGCTGAGCATCCACGACCATGTTTCTCCACTTCTGAGCGTGGGTGCCCAGGCTGCCCCGAGTATTCTGGTGGGGGTGGGGGCAAAATTCCGCTCAAGACTACAACTGCTCGGGGCAAACAGAGCAACAAGACCAAGGCGACCCCTTCCATGATAGCTGTCCGTGAATTTCTGCAATATCAGGGGACTTCACTCTAACCTAAACGCCGTCCACTACCATCTCGAGACGGCGAGGCCGGCTCTGCTTTTTCTGACCGAGATGCAGGTGTCCTCTCCGGCTGATGTCCTCGTATCTCTCCTACCCGGGGTACAAACTGGAACACTCCTTTGTGCCTCGGGCTGGAGTTTGCGTTTACGTCAGAGAAGGACATCTGTTCTCGACGCCTCGGCAGTCTTGAAGGTTCGGACCTGTCCATCCTTTGGCTACGCGTAGACAGCGACGACCATCCGCGCATCTACGGGTGCCTCTATAGGTCCCATAGCGGTAATGCCGAAACAAGTCGACTCTTCGACCACGTCCAAATGGCTACAGATTCGTTGCTACAGCAGATCACTTCCGCAGAGATCGTGATCCTTCGGCGACTTCAACGCCCATCACGCCGAATGGCTTGGTTCACATTTAACCGATCATGCTCGGACATCTGTTCATGATTTTGCCTTGGCATATGGTCTGACACAACTGGTTACTTCGCCTACGCGGATTGCAGATGTGGAGGATCATGCACCTTCCCTGTTCGACCTTCTGCTGACCTGTCACCCGGACGGATATCAGATTTCCATCGCCCTTTAGGCTCCTCGGACCATTGTCTTGTCCGAAGTGTGGTGCCACTCACGCTGAAATCGCAGTTGCATTCTGCAGGCTGCCGCCGTGTTTGGCACTATAGGTCAGCCGATTGGGATGGGATGCGGTCTTTCTTTGCATCCTACCCTTGATTGGGCGAGTTTGCTTCTCGCCGGACGATCCGAACGTTGTTGCGGATTCTGTCGCTGATGTGGTACTTCAGGGTATGGAACTTTTTATTCCTTTTTCTGTGGTGCCCATTGAGGCAAATCTCAGCCATGGTTTGGTCGCTCCCGTAAAATAGCATCATGCTATAAGCAGGAGTGCTACCAAGCCTGGGCTGACGCATCAACGTCCCGAGACGTAAACACCAGCGCTCTAAAAAAGAAGTATAATTCCGCCTCTAGGTCCTTCAAAAGAGTCATTGCCAAGGCAAAGTCAGAGCACATAGACAGAATTGGCGAGAAACTAGTTCGCCTTCCTTCTGGAACTCGTGCATTGTGGTCTCTCGCCAAGGCTGTCCAGGGGAATTCCTGTCAGCCATCTCTTCCATCTCTGCACAGGGAGGACGACTCACTGGCCCATACCGCAAAGGAGAAAGCCGATCTGCTAGGCTCTTTCTTTGCGTCCAACTCGACTCTCGGTGATGGGGGGAGTACGCCGCCGACCATCCCGCGGTGTGAGTGCTCCATGCCAGAAGTGCAGTTCACACAGAGCTCGGTTTGCAAAGCACTCCTCTCCCTGGAAATCCACAAGTCGAGTGGGCCTGTCGGAATCCCCCCAATTGTGCTGACGACGTGTGCTCCATAGTTGGCACCGGTTTTAACACGTCTTTTCCGATACTCCTACTCCCTAGGCGTAGTCCCAAAATCATGGAAGACGGCTTTCGTCCACCCGATCCCTAAAAAAAGGCGACCGCTCAGACCCGTCGAATTACCGGCCTATAGCCATCACCTCCTTGTTCTCCAAAACAATGGAGCCTATTGTTAACTGCCAGCTCATGAGGTACCTTGAGGTTCACCAGCTGATTAGTGATCGCCAAACGATTTTCGCTGTGGTTAGTCAGCTGGTGATCTTCTGGTCTACCTAACTCATAGATGGGCGGAGGCAGAAGAGTCCAAGGGGAGGCATTGGCCGTTAGTTTGGACATTGCGAAGGCCTTCGATCGGGTTTAGCACAAAGCGCTTCTTTCGAAGCTCCCTTCCTATGGGCTTCCCGAGAAATTGTGCGATTGGATCACCAGCTTTCTTGCAGATCGGAGCATCAAGGTCGTTGTAGACCGTGCAAGCTCCGATTACAAGCTTATTAATGCTGGTGTTCCACAAGGCTGCGTGCTATTGCCAACGCTGTTTCTTCTGCATATCAATGATATGTTGCATACCCGTAACATTCATTACTATGCAGATGACAGCACTGGTGATGCTCTTTACACCGGCCGTGCCAATATTTCGCGGGAAAACGTCTCCGAGTGCCGGGACAAACTTTCGTCTGAAGTCGATTCTTTGCTGAACAGAGTCTCGGATTGGGGTCGACAAAATCGTTAAACGCTAAAAAGAACCACTTTGTCGTATCTCCTCAGTTTCAAGGCACTTCCCTTTTTGCCTCAGCCAGTATCGGAATCCTCAGCGTCGACATATCGAGCGACGTGCAGTTTCGTGGTCACTTGGAAGAGAAATCCAAATTGGCCTCTAAAAAGCTTGGCGTGCTCAGCAGTGCACACCGCCTGCAACTTTACAAGGCGCAGGTTCGGCCTCACATGGAATACTGTACCCAACTCTGGGCTGGGGCTCCCCAGTACCAGCTCCTTCCACTTGACCGCAACCAGAGCAGAGCGGCTCGAATCGTCGACGACCGAGTGCTTTCCGATCGTCTCGACTCACTAACGCTGCGAGGAGATGTTGCATCTCTTTGCATTTTCTTTCACATATACCATGGGGAGTGCTCTGAGGATTTATTCGGATTAATCCCAACCGCCAAATTTCTTGAACGCACTACGCGGCAAACGTCCCGATACCACCCACACCATCTGGATGCTTGGCGGTCCACCACTGCACGTTTCAAAAGGAGTTTTCTTCCGCGTACAACCTCCCTGTGGAATAGTTTACCACCGGCGATTTTTCCGGACCGATACGACCTGGGGACCTTCAAGAAAAGAGCTTACTCCTTTCTAAAGGGCCGGCAACGCACCTGCAATTCCCCTGGTGTTGCGTTTGATCATGGGCGGCGGTAGTCACTTAACATCAGGTGAGCCGCATGCTCGTTTGCCCCCCACCCCCCTCTATAAAAAAATATATTTAAAGAAAATGTCGATATATTGATATTTTTTACCCAAGCCTAGCGACAAGCTGCAGATAGCACTTTCATAAGTGTAGGATTATTTCATCTCACCTACCGAGGTATGTACCAAGTTTATTTTCACGTTGAAAAGTACTTCATCATTATTTTATTTGGACACTATTATCGAATGCGCTTTTTGTCAACTAATAAGTACCAACAAATATTTATATTTTATAAATTTTTATTCCAACTTGTGAAATGATGTCCAAATAAAATAATGATGAAGTACTTTTCAACATAAAAATAAACTAAGCAGCCTAGGCACACTCAAGTGTTTTTTACCAGTATTTTTCATAACGTTACCCCCCCCCCCCCAATAGGATTTTCTCCTGTATCGTGGAAGCAGTTCACAAACATAAATTGCACGAGGACTAGCATCCAGACCCGAAACAATTATTTGAAGGCCATACAAATACCTATGCCGTGCGAAATTCGAACCCGCGGCCTCCAGCGCCAGCCACTCATTGCCAAGCCAGTGCGCCACCGAGGCGTCACGTTGTCAAAGTATATCTGTAACATACGAGTTCCCTCATATCTTACGTGACCATACGTCCCACTTTAGGCGGGACGGTTCCGATTTATAATGTCCCGCTTTGACAAATAAAAGCATCATCATTTCATCCTATTCCTCAGGAGTAACAAGTTAGATGTCGGATGTTGATTGCCGATGATTATGGGCTGCAGCTAACTTACCACCAAGTAGACTATTCGTTACTTTAATTTTATAAAAATAAATTTACAGTATAGTCTAAGCCCAGAGTTGGACATGGGCGTATCCTAATGTAGAAGGTTTTGCCTTAATCGTCCCACTTGTCAGAAGTGAGACCACCTTTGACGCTGCTGTCCGTCGCTGGTCAGGGTTTTTTACACCAAGGATAAAGAGAGGATTTTTCCTCGATGCATAAAAAGCAATAAGATCTTTTAGGCTTACCCCATTGTCTCTTACGACAGCCACGGGAAGAATAGGGTGATGGATTCTTTTACACTACCATCACACAGCAGGTGGATTGATGCTCGCAGCACCAGATGTTTTGCACACAGTAGTACAGTATTAAGTATACATGACTAAATATTCTCATCGCAAAGTTACGTCGCATTGTATAATGTAAAGACGGAATAAACACGACTTAATGTTCTCACCACAAGTGTCCGTTATATAATCGTCCTAATGTCAAAATAAATTAGTCGTTGTCTAATGTACAGTCGGAAAAAACACTACTAAATATTCTCACCACAAAGGTCGCTTGTGCTGCATACGCTATCAGGATTTCTGTTGAAGCCATCGTTACAAACGCATTTATTTTCACGAACTTCGTTTATATTACTGGCGCATCTATAAAACACATTTCTATTTTGACAAGTTCTTTCAGGCGGACAAGCCTTAACACATTGAAGTGACTCATTCGGCTTATTGCATTCTGGTTCCTCTGAAATGGACAATAAATCTTACATTTTCTATGGAATAAAGGTGATAAATGAGTACACATTCTATCTAGTGGTGTGTGGTCGCTGTGTCCCATAGACATTAACATCTATTCTCGATTAAGATTCAAAATTTAAATGTACTGTCAGCCCTGTAGGCTATGATAGAATGCCTCCTTACCAGTAAAAACGATCCCTGTCACTCTAACTATTCAACAAACACACGTATTTCACGCAGGTCCTCCCCGGTAGCCGACCCATCCCTGCTTAACCATAATAAACATGATGTGGCCCAATAACATAATTTACATATCGTAGAAAATGTACTAAGCTTGTTTAGAAATTAAAGTTACAGCGTTATATACATCCCATTTCTGAAATCAATCGTATTCTTGGTTACGAAAGGATCATAGCGCAATTTGCCTACGGCGCTGCTCTACTAAGTGTTGGAGGACACATTTCCTCGAAATATTTTAATACCTTCATAAATCTGCTCTTAGATTGCACTGTAGCATATTTGCTTTAATTGCCACGCTTGACTGACGGGTTGGAAAACGCAGTTTTCTATAACTTTGCGTTGTTATCAGGAGCATGCTGCTGCCCTTCTCCATCTATCACTTTATTCAACACACTCCGGCGCCCCTTACGACACCCACGAGGTGATATGGAGAAATGGATTTTTGTTTTGGTTCGACCCTTATGGCTACAATATACGGTATTTTGAAAGTATATTATAATAAAAGAAATAAAGTCTACATTTACTATTAAATATTCTGTTGTAAAGCATGAAATTATTCTATAATTTTAATAAAACTGCACCAATGCTTGAATGCAAAAAGAAAGATAAGCCACTCACCCTCATACCAGCCCTCTGTTACATTGAGTTATACAAGACATAAATAAATCAATGCTCTGTTACTCTTGCGTGAAATAATTATCTACAATCGCGAGGCACCCAGGGTGGTGGAGCCACGTGTTTAAGGCTGCCGAAGTCTAGTTCCCCGGTCAAACCTTAAACCTATTGCGCGAAATATTAATCTAAGTGGACTGTATCTACTAATGCTTCTACACTTGTATATGCGGTACAATGCACTCGCTCTTCCCAAAAAAAACGAACTATTATGCCAAATCGATGAAAGGAATCCTGCTTGATTAGGAAAACACAAAATTGGAGCGGGTTAAAACTACTATATCAAGCAGGAAAATACTATTAGGAAAATGTTAACTCACCGGGATGTTTCTTCTTTGCGGTCGAGCACTATAACTGCGACTTCTGGAACACTCCGGAGAGAGGCGATGCGCGACTATATCTCACACGAGGTAAGGCGGGCTTCCTGGAGCTCGACTGCTTCCAGGCTAAAGCGGTTTTCTACTAGCGATGTGGTTTTAACGACGAGCGCGGCGGGAAGAGGCCACGCTTCGGTCGCGCGTGTCTTATATATCCTCGGTTCCGATGATTACGTGATGTTATAGAATCATCTTCTTTCCCCTCCCACCTCACCACCCCGATGTGTCGATAGGAGGGTACGAATGATATCGTTTTGGAAAGGGATAACCGATTTGGCAGCCTACCGTCAAATAAAATAAATACGAATGGTTTTCCGCGCAACCACAGGGTACGTACTATTATTATTTATTCTGTGCCCAGGGTAACTACATATGTAGTCGGGGCTAGCGCGTTGTAGACGATTGAATGTAAAAGTTTTTTAACTCTGTTTACGTAAATAGTTTTTGTAAATACTTGTTAAATAGTTTTTGTTTATTAGTTAGTATATTTATTTGTGGAATGTATTAGTTGAAAAATGTATTTGTTTATTTAATAGTTAAAAAAACATCAATGCCATTTAAAAATTATATATATAATTGAATCTTCAGTGAATCCTTTGATAGTGAGATAAACAAATCGTAGGGTTATTTTCAATTTTTGTAGAATATTGTTGCGCGCCTAAGTTGACGTCATGTACCCGGCACTAGCGCCATCTAGTGTCGGGGACGAGAGCGAGGGGAGCTTTCCAGAAAATGACATCACTAATCTTTCAACCTACAGCGCCATACTAATATCGAAACGAAGAACTATGCTTCTAGAAGTCCGACACTCGAACTTTCGACGCCTTGTCGATTGGCGCGCGTATTTACTTGAATATTCTGGATGTTTCGGTGATAATGTGTATTTAAAGGCGCTGCAAGATGCGATCGGGAAAGTATTGAATTTGGCGAGACAAGCGAAGCTTCGGAGCGAAATAAAGTGCATCAGTGTGGTTAATTATTAGTGTTTTAAGTTTTAATTAGTGTAAAGTGAATTAAAGTGTAAATTTGGTAATTCAATCGGCAGTTTTTATTGTCACGAACCTCAAGCTCGTAACAATTGGTGTCAGAAGTGAGATTAAATCATGCCGATATTACCTAAGGAGAAAACGGAGGGTGTCCGTACCCGAAGTCAACGCCAGCAGGAGACGGACCAGAGACGATTTGGTGGTGCAACGCCGCAGACGTCAGAGGGCCAACTGCCAGCCCCGGAGGCTGGCCCGACAGCAGCTCCTACAACTGCAGCACCTGAATTAGGTGCTCTGATTTTGATGCTGCAGGAGCAGGCCCGTCGGTTGGAAGAGCAGCTGAAGCGCGGGACAGGAGGAACAGGCCCGCCGACAGGAGGAACAGGCCCGTCAGTTGAAAGAGCAGCAGGAAGAACAGGCCCGTCGCTTAGAAGAGCAGCTCAAATGCGATAGGAAAGAGCAGAAGCTTCTCATGATGGACTTCACCTACCTTCGGGAAAGAAATAAGGGAGGTGAAGAAAGTTCTCATAACCGTCGAACAAAAAACGATGAACTCAAACTTGGAGATGGAATTCAGCCCCCGCAGTTACCTCTACCTTCAATTGCCACCGTCACTTCTTCCTTCACAAAAGGCTGGAATGAGTCAGGCTGACTGCCTTACACTAGGCCTGCGCGACCAGGCCTTAACAGTTCTGGACGCTCTCGGTGAGGAAGTGACTTATGAGCAACTCCTTGAGGCATTGGAGGCGAGATATGGCGACGCTCACCTGGAACACATCTTTCGTGCGCAACTTAAAGATCGCGTGCAGCGCATTAATGAAAACCTGCAGCAGTGGGCTCTAGAGGTGGAGAAGCTGGTGCGAAAAGCATACCGGTCTGTACCTGCGCTCATTGAAGGAAACCTGGTGCAGACATTCATCGACGGCATCCGCGAACTGGAAGTCAGAGCTGCTGTGAGGCTCGGGCACCACGAGACGCTTAAGGACGCCTTGGCCCATGCACTGGAAGTGGAAGCCGTGCGGCAGGATCATCTTTCCCATCGCGTCAGGGAGGTTGCAGCAGCTACAGTTCGCGACCGCAACAAAGGATTCAGCCCTAGGTGCTATGGCTGTGGGGAAGAGGGCCATCTTCGATCCAGCTGCCCTAAGCGAACCCTAGAAAGGGAAGGTGAACGATCTCAGGAGGGTAGTGCGGCCAACAGCACCACCCAGCAGCAGCAGAGAAACGAGTAAAAGCCTTAACTGCGGGGCGGGTGCTGGCTGATGTTAAAAGAGCCCCAAAGATCTCGATCTCACAAACCCATGATGGGAACAGTCTAATCATCAAGGGCGAGGTCAACGGAATGCCGTGTAAACTGACCATAGACACTGGAGCCTCTCGTACGGTTGCTAGTTCCCAACTTATAAGTCAGTTCCTTGGGGACTCCGCATACAACCGAGAACGCATTAATTTGGTAACAGCCACCGGTCAGCGTATACCCGTCCGTGGAGAGAAGGAGATGGAGTTGAAGCTAGGCAACGTGATCTACCTGCATAATTTCATCGTGGCTGATATAATGGACGACTGCACCCTGGGTCTAGACTTTATGTGGAATAACTGTTGTGAGATCGACGTTAAGCAAGGTGTTTTGAAATATGGACAGGAGGAACTTTTTATGGAAGGTGCGTTACCAGGGAACGTGTACAGCATTAAGAAGATTGTTCTTCCGCCGAGATCGGAAACGATTGCCCAAGCTTCCTCCCCCTTGTGACTGTGGAAAGGGTAAAAATGACCTTCCATGGAAAGTAGCTCACCTTGTCAACCACTAACATCTCAGGAGTACGTGTGCTGAACCTTTGTGACCGGGAACAGATTATAGAAAAAGGCACGCTAGTTAGTACTTGTGAGGAAGTGGATTGGTTACGTCGGTGCCAATATATATCGAGTGGGACCCCCAGCAAGGATTCAGAAACGAGAGTGACCACACTTTTGGAAGACTGTCGCAGCGTTCTCTCCCCGACCGAAATGGTCAAGGCGAAGAAGTTGTTACTCAATTATGCCGATGTATTTTCATCAAACGATGCTGACATAGGAAAGACTGGCTTAGTTCAACACAAAATAAACACAGGAGAAGAATTGCCTATCCGTCAGCGGCCAAGAAGATTGCCGGTAGCACGTGAAAAGGAAGTGGAAACCATGATTGAAGGAATGGTGAAGGATGGTGTTATTGAATCTTCCTCTGGTCCATGGTGTTCACCAGTGGTGCTGGTAAAGAAGAAGGATGGCAGCATGCGGTTTTGTGTTGACTACCGCCGTCTGAACGACGTTACGAAGAAGGACAGCTATCCCTTGCCAAGAATTGATGACACGCTGGACATGCTTACAGGAGTAAAGTGGTTTAGCACGCTGGATCTAAAAAGTGGCTACTGGCAAGTTGAAATTGACCCTAAGGACAAGGAAAAAAAAAAAGAAAACTGCGTTCTCGACGGGAAAGGGTCTGTGGCAATTTAAAGTAATGCCGTGGTTGTGCAATGCTCCAGCAACGTTTGAAAGGCTGATGGAACTTGTACTTACCGGGCTAATTGGCGATGCCTGTCTGGTCTACTTGGATGACATCATCATGGTAGGCCGTACGTTTGAGGAACACCTTCAAAACCTGGAACGCGTACTCATGAAGATTCAGAGTGCCAACCTCAAGTTGAGTCCGAAGAAATGTTCACTATTCAAACGGCAAGTTAACTTTTATGTATATGTTCAAAGATAAAAGAAAAATTAAAAGGGGAAGGGGAAAAAAAAAAAAGAAAAAAAATTTTAATATTTTTTTTTTTATTATTAATAAGGTGTTATGTTTGGGGTGGGGTTTTTATTTTTTAAAAAAAATTTTGGGGTATGTAGTATCGGAAGAAGGTACCCGCATGGATCCAGAGAAAATCGCCGCTGTCAAGGATTGGCCGGTTCCAAAAGACAAGATGCAGGTTAGAGCATTTTTGGGTTTGTGCTCCTATTACCGGCGATTTGTGAGAACTTTGCAGATATAGCCAAACCTCTGCATAAACTAACCGAGGAGAAGCGACATTTCTGCTGGGAAGAAAGTTGCAATATCGCATTCCAGGAGCTCAAGGACCGTCTGTGCAAAACACCTATTTTGGGATACCCTGATGCAAGCAAAGAATTTATAGTTGACACAGACGCAAGTAATATAGGACTTGGCGGTGTGTTGTCTCAACGGAATGGTGACCAAGAGGTCGTGATAGCGTACTTCAGCAAGTCGTTGTCAAAACCGAAAGGAACTATTGTGTCACAAGACGCGAATTGCTAGCTGTGGTAAAGTCGTTGCAGCATTTTAGCAAATATCTTCTGGGGCAAAAATTTCACTTACGAACTGACCATGCTGCACTAAAATGGCTATTGCAGTTTAAAAATCCAGAAGGACAAGTTGCGAGGTGGATTGAACTACTGCAGGAATACGACTTTGAGATCGAACATCGCAGCGGGAAATCTCATGGCAACGCAGATGCATTGTCAAGAAGACCTTGTCCTGAAGATTGCAGACATTGTACTAGGCAAGAAAGTAAGGAAGTGGTATCCGTGAGGATGCTCAGGGCAGACCACCTCAGCAAAGAGTGGAAGGACAGCTTACAACATGCACAGCAAGAAGATCCGGACATCAAGCCGATTCTGGAATGGATGAAGGCCAGTGCTCCCAAGCCCAAGTGGAGCGACGTCTCAGCGATGAGTTCGACTACTAAAAGCTATTGGGCCCAGTGGGACAGCTTGCTGCTTCAGGATGGAGTTCTGTGCCGTAAATGGGAAAATGTTCGGGGAGACAGCTGTCATTTGCAAATGGTTGTCCCTAAAGCTAAAGTACCGGATGTTCTACAGCTGTACCATAATGATTGTTCAGGAGGCCATCTGGGAGTTAAACGAACTCTACTGAAGATCCGAGAACGGTTTTACTGGGTCCACTGTCGAAACGATGTCGAGGACTGGTGTCGCAAATGTACAAGTTGTGCGGCTGTAAAGGGACCTCAGACTCGTAGTAGAGGTGCATTGAAGTTGTACAATGTTGGTGCACCATGGCAGAGAATAGCCATTGACGAAGCGGGGCCGTTTTCGAAGAGTGAAAGCGGTAACAAGTATTTCATGGTTGTGATGGATTACTTCAGTAAGTGGCCAGAAGTCTTCGCCATTCCAAATCAAGAAGCTTCAACAGTTGCAGATAAACTAGTTCATGAAGTCTTCTGTCGTTTCGGTGTACCTTTAGAGATTCACAGCGATCAAGGAAGGAATTTTGAGTACTCAAATATTCCAGGAAACTTGCCGAGTTATGGGTACTCATAAAACAAGAACGACTTCTTATCACCCGCAATCTGATGGAATGGTAGAAATGATTTAATCAGACATTGGAGAGGTACCTAGCAAAAGTTGTAGACAATCGGCAACGAGATTGTAACCAGGATCAACGATGTAACCTACCGGATACAGAAAGGCGCAAGAGGGACTCCTAAGATCGTCCATGTGGATCGCTTAGCGCGTTATTATGGGGCCGATAATGCTCGGGACGAGCATGTCTTAGAAGGGGGCAGTGTTGCGCGCCTAAGTTGACGTCATGTACCCGGCACTAGCGCCATCTAGTGTCGGGGACGAGAGCGAGGGGGAGAGCTTTCCAGAAAATGACATAACCAATCTTTCAACCGACAGCGCCATCTAGTATCGAAACGAAGAACTAACAACGAAACCACCCCTTTTCGCTTTACATGATGTTTCGGTGATAATGTGTATTTAAAGTGTAAAATAAAGTGAATCAGTGTGGGTAATTATTAGTGGTTTAAGTTTTAATTAGTGTAATGTGAATTAAAGTGTAAATTTTGGTAATTCAATCGGCAGTTTTTATTGTCACGAACCTCAAGCTCGTAACAATATTGAAAATCTCTTTTGGCGCGTAACCACAGCGGTGCAACGCTATAACCGCTACTCTATCTTCTTTCTTCGACCACTCCGTATTCGAAAATGAATAAAAATTAATGTCTTTTTTATTTTTGGGAAGGGCAAACGTTATAGGTACTTTATAAAATTGGTGAAGTTCATCCAGCCAGTATTAAATTTTTTTAAATAATAAGGTTTTGACAGAACTTATGACCCGTCTAAGTACATATAATTTTTAAATTACGTATACCTATTTGATCAATTGTAATGGCAACAAGTCGTTCCCACAATAACTGTTGCGTGGATAGATGCTAAATGACCAACAGAAGGTTTCAGGCATATCATTCCTTAAGTTACCGAACGATTTTAGTAGGAAGTTGTGAAAGTTGAATTTATTTCATTTTAGGTAATTATAGCAAAAAAAGAAAAACATAATAATTTATCTACAGAAGTAATACATAATATATTACTTTAGTTTTTACTTTTTTTAAAGAATATTAACAATGCTATAAACATTACTAATATTCCCCTTAACCACTCGTGGTGCTAAACTGTACAGTGGTTCACGCCAGTAGTCGAACGGCGGATTCGAACCCACGACCTTTTTGAGTTCGCGGTCCGCGCCCTGCCATTAGGCTACTGTCGCTTATAATATATATATATATATATATATATATATATATATATATATATATATATATATTTTATTACGAAACTTAGTTAAAATTTACTTCACTATCCAAGTATCTACTTACATACCTACATACCTTATATACATATTCTTGTCTTTTGTAATTAAAATATTTTAAGTTATAATAACACAAAATACTGATATTAAAACTTCGTTTACTAACAAGATTTTTAACTTGGTAGAGTACGATCACATTTCTGTTAGAAATCGTATTTGAGATTTATTTTTGTTGTTTCTTCCGAACCAATCATCGCGATTACCGACGAATTGCCTCGCACGTTGCATGCGTCGCATCGTAGAACTCACCTAGTGCGAAATGTGGTCAGCCGACCATAGTCAGAATAGGTAATTTGGCTAAGTAACTTAAATAACATTTCGAAATGTATTTTTTTACTCTTTATTGACATCCCACCACCTATACTAACCACGGAAAGACCGCCGTGACTTAGGAAGGGGAAAAGATGCAAAGTAATATGGACACTCGCGCGCAGCGATAAAGTTTTATTTAGCTTGCGTGCGCGATTTATCCAATTAATAATAATTATGTAGACTTCTAAACGTCAACAAGCAGTCAACATAAAAGGAGTGCAATGTCTATACGTAGTACTATTATTTTTTCTCTGCTTTGACTTAAGAAGATACCATGAAAATGAATCGTAGTTTTGGGGGCGTGGTTATAAGGGATACCTTTGTCGGTGAAGCTCACGGACGCCAGAGAGTGTCAAAATTAAATTGATGCCATGACTTCATAACACGCCAATTATGAGATATATATACTGAGCAGGCGCTCTGAAAAAAACTAAGTAAGTGCCAAACCACATGTTTTTTAACAAAACTTTGTTATGGACTAAAAAATGGTTTATGAGAACTTAGATATATATTAATTGTAAAAATATTGTATTGTCATGAAGAAATATGATTAATTTGAACCCACTTTGCAATTTTTTTCTACGAGAAAATTACACGTATTGTATTTCCCTTTTGTGACATCCAAGTTCATGTAGTCAAAAATCATATACCAAAAATTTGGTTCGTTATCTGTAAAACATTAAAAATATATGTGAAATAGAAAAACTACCAGATATACGAGGTGTCATTAAAGTACGTACGTACGTACGCAAGAGACTTAACGGCGTCTTTAAATTGGGAAGCATTAGAGTATTTAGGCTTAGGAGTATTAGAAGTAAAAGTATTAGATATATATATATATATATATATATATATATATATATATATATATATATATATATATATATATATATATATAATATTAATAAAAATACAAAATAATTATTATTATACAAGAAAAAACTAATAATATACGTTTGATATCTATGATTATATATCATGGTATATAATCATAGATATCAAATGGTAGAGCTTTATGACAATGCCTCCGTCCGGATTGATATCATTTTCTTAACCATTTTTGCTGTATTTCGATTTAAAGTATGAAAGAAAAATTACAAATACACCATCCTTATTTTGTATACTTAAAGGTCATACACCATTTGTGACGTTTTTTCCTGGTGTACATGATTTACAGTTTAGTGGCGATTTAATAATATCTCCCATCCCAGATCAACCCGTTGCGTTGGTGTCGTAAGAGGCGACAGAGGGAACCAAATCAGGACATGGGTAACAGAATCTTCCTTAACGACTAAAAATTAAAAAAACTGCAGTTGCTACCTGCACCTGCTTGCCAAACGTGGTAACTATAGCAATTATCCCCCTTACGAGGGAAATGTCCCATATATTTATAAATAAAATAATGCGGTTGCCAACCCGCTTGCCAAGCGTAGCAACTCTGGCAAATATCCCCCCTATGAGGCAATGTATGGGGGAGGCTTATGTTCAGCGGTGGACTTAAGTACCTTGTAACGGTAACATGAGATCCAGTTACCACTTACTGTCAAATGGACTGTCACCTCGTTAGTCACCCTATAAATATTTAAAAACATAAAAATTTATTCACCTGTGTTTACTGCGTAAAACATGCAATAACTTAAGAATAAAAAAGACTTAAACATCTTGATAAACAAAGCGCGTCTGCCAACGGTTAAACTCGTTCATGCAGTTATATACTCGTAGCTATCTAACAATACCTGTTATATGTTTATAAATTAGATACATTTCACAATTTAATCTCAAGGTCACGTGTTAAAAACTAATTAATAGAGTTAGGCTCTACAAATGTGCAAGTGTTAAGAGGATACCTTGAAAATGAATTGGAGTTTTGGGGGCGTGGCTTATTCCTTTGTCGGTGAAGCTTACGGACGACTGCGGGAGTGTCAAAATGAAAGTTATGCAATGACTCAATAGTACGCAAAATTATGAGATAGCCATACCGAGCAAGCGCTCGGAAAAAAACTAAGTAAGCGCCAAACAACATTTTTATTTATTTTAACAAAACCACGTTATGGATTAAAAAAATGGTTTATGAGAACTTAGATATGATTATTTACTATGCCTTAAAATAATTTCATGAACTTATTCGTAACAATATTGTGGTGTCATAGAGAAATGTAAATAATTAGAGCCTATTTTGCAATTTTTTTCTATCGAGAAAATTACATGTTATCGTATTTTCCTTTTATGCAATCCAAGGTCATATAGTCACAAATCGTATACCAAAATGTTGGTTTATAATCTATAAAACTTAAAAAAATATGTTAAATAGAAAAACCACCAAGTTTTCGAGGTATCACTTTAACAATTTCCCTGTCCGCGCAAAACGATACAGTAGTTAAACAACCGAAGTGTTCATATATTACTCATGAGAGAGTGACATGATTAAATAAAACTATTACAACTGGTTGCTGACGACACCCTTTGTTATGGGTAAGTATCAAAGCAAATGCGCGAGAAAACTTACGATATCAACGAAATAAGGTTGCAATTTTTTTTAAATAATATCCGCTTAATAATATTTTTTATCTAGACCAACAGTACAAGATATTACGTATTTCAATAATTATTCTCGTCAATTACTAACTACTAAGTAAATATTAGTATAATTAAAAATTAAAGAGAAAACCAGACAACTTTTGGATTAACAGGATTGCAAGAGATCAAACAGCGTGATGAGTGGTTTGCCGAAAACAGCATTTTTTATTATAATCCACTCAGACAAACAAGGAAGACAGACGGAGAACTGCGAACAATCCAAGTGATGCCAAAAATATACTCAACTTTTCGACGTCCTCATCCTGATGAGAGCGGTGAGCAGCGCGAGGAGTATAGTGTGGCGGAGTCATCGCACTAATACAATTTAGTTCAGTGGGCGGAGTAGGAATCATCGTGCTGCCGCGGGTTTATCCTCTCGGCCCACACACTGCTCTCTTCGCGCATTTAATCGTCCCGCTCTGCACTAGGTTAGGTTAGGTTATGACATATAATTTCAATCGTTATAGGTATTTTATAAAATTGGTGAAGTTCATCCATCCAGTATTAAATTTTTTTAAATAATAAGGTTTTGACAGAACTTATGACCCGTCTAATGACATATAATTTTTAAATTACGTATACCTATTTGATCTATTGTAATGGCAACAAGTCGTTCCCACAATAACTGTTGCGTGGATAGATGCTAAATGACCAACAGAAGGTTTCAGGCATATCATTCCTTAAGTTACCGAACGATTTTAGTAGGAAGTTGTGAAAGGTGAATTTATTTCATTTTAGGTAATTATAGCAAAAAAAGAAAAACATAATAATTTATCTACAGAAGTAATACATAATATATTACTTTAGTTTTTACTTTTTTTAAAGAATATTAACAATGCTATAAACATTACTAATATTCCCCTTAACCACTCGTGTGGTTCACGCCAGTAGTCGAACAGCGGATTCGAACCCACGACCTTTTTGAGTTCGCGGTCCGCGCCCTGCCATTAGGCTACTGTCGCTTATAATATATATATATATATATATATATATATATATATATATATATATATAATTTTATTACAAAACTTAGTTAAAATTTCACTATCCAAGTATCTACTTACATACCTACATACCTTATATACTTGTCTTTTGTAATTAAAATATTTTAAGTTATAATAACACAAAATACTGATATTAAAACTTCGTTTACTAACAAGATTTTTAACTTGGTAGAGTACGATCACATTTCTGTTAGAAATCGTATTTGAGGTTTATTTTTGTTGTTTCTTCCGAACCAATCATCGCGATTACCGACGAATTGCCTCGCACGTTGCATGCGTCGCATCGTAGAACTCACCTAGTGCGAAATGTGGTCAGCCGACCATAGTCAGAATAGGTACTTTGGCTAAGTAACTTAAATAACATTTCGGAATGTGTTTTTTTACTTTTTATTGACATCCCTTAGTAACCACGGAAAGACTGCCGTGACTTAGGAAGGGGAAAAGATGCAAAGTAATATGGACACTCGCGCGCAGCGATAAAGTTTTATTTAGCTTGCGTGCGCGATTTATCTAATTAATAATAATTATGTAGACTACTAAACGTCAACAAGCAGTCAACATAAAAGGAGTGCAATGTCTATACGTAGTACTATTATTTTTTCTCTGCTTTGACTTAAGAAGATACCATGAAAATGAATCGTAGTTTTGGGGGCGTGGTTATAAGGGATACCTTTGTTGGTGAAGCTCACGGACGCCAGAGTGTCAAAATTAAATTGATGCAATGACTTCATAATACGCCAATTATGAGATATATATACTGAGCACGCGCTCGGAAAAAAACTAAGTAAGTGCCAAACCACATTTTTTTAACAAAACTTTGTTATGGACTAAAAAATGGTTTATGAGAACTTAGATATATATTATAAAAATATTGTATTGTAATGAAGAAATATGATTAATTTGAACCTACTTTGCATTGTGTTTCCCTTTTGTGACATCCAAGTTCATATAGTCAAAAATCATATACCAAAAATTTGGTTCGTTATCTGTAAAACATTAAAAATATATGTGAAATAGAAAAACTACCAGATATACGAGGTGTCATTAAAGTACGTACGTACGTACGCAAGAGACTTAACGGCGTCTTTAAATTGGGAAGCATTAGAGTATTTAGGCTTAGGAGTATTAGAAGTAAAAGTATTAGATATATATATATATATATATATATATATATATATATATATATATATATATATATATATATAATATTAATAAAAAATACAAAACAATTATTATTATACAAGAAAAAACTAATAGTATACGTTTGATATCTATGATTATATATCATGGTATATAATCATAGATATCAAATGGTAGAGCTTTATGACAATGCCTCCGTCCGGATTGATATCATTTTCTTAACCATTTTTGCTGTATTTCGATTTAAAGTATGAGAGACAAATTACAAATACACCATCTTTATTTTGTATACTTAAAGGTCATACACCATTTGTGACGTTTTTTCCTGGTGTACATGATTTACAGTGTAGTGGCGATTTAATAATATCTCCCATCCCAGATCAACCCGTTGCGTTGGTGTCGTAAGAGGCGACAGAGGGAACCAAATCAGGACATGGGTAACAGAATCTTCCTGATAACGACTAAAAATTAAAAAAACTGCAGTTGCTACCTGCACCTGCTTGCCAAACGTGGTAACTATAGCAATTATCCCCCTTACGAGGGAAATGTCCCATATATTTATAAATAAAATAATGCGGTTGCCAACCCGCTTGCCAAGCGTAGCAACTCTGGCAAATATCCCCCCTATGAGGCAATGTATGGGGGAGGCTTTGTTCAGCGGTGGACTTAAGTACGTTGTAACGGTAACGGAGATCCAGTTACCACTTACTGTCAAATGGACTGTCACCTCGTTAGTCACCCTATAAATATTTAAAAACATAAAAATTTATTCACCTGTGTTTACTCCGTAAAACATGCAATAACTTAAGAATAAAAAAGACTTAAACATCATGATAAACAAAGCGCGTCTGCCAACTGTTAAACTCGTTCATGCAGTTATATACTCGTAGCTATCTAACAATACCTGTTATATGTTTATAAATTAGATACATTTCACAATTTAATCTCAAGGTCACGTGTTAAAAACTAATTAATAGAGTTAGGCTCTACAAATGTGCAAGTGTTAAGAGGATACCTTGAAAATGAATTGGAGTTTTGGGGGCGTGGCTTATTCCTTTGTCGGTGAAGCTTACGGACGACTGCGGGAGTGTCAAAATGAAAGTTATGCAATGACTCAATAGTACGCAAAATTATGAGATAGCCATACCGAGCAAGCGCTCGGAAAAAAACTAAGTAAGCGCCAAACAACATTTTTATTTATTTTAACAAAACTTCGTTATCCCCTCGTCTGCCGGCCGGCCATTTTGCAAATATGTCGCGTCTGCTAGGGCCTTAGCAGGTAATTTTGCGATATCGGCGCGTGGCGATTAAAGTAGTAATTTCTCTAAAATATTGTATGGAAGCTATTTATAAAACTTATGTCATATGAATTGTTATATTATTTGCTATTACTCTGTAGATATCTTAGTTGAATACAACATAATAGATTTTATTGAGCCAATTTCAAAGTTGGAAAACCAAATTTTTAATAGTATTTTGTGCATAATTTGTGAAAATTAAACATAAAAATCATTCTTTTATAAAATAAATGTAATTTATTTTCATCAATATACACTAATTTATAATAAAAAAGCAAAAAAAACCACACATTCCTATATATTTTTACCCCAAAAGTTTTTTACAATCTTAACACATGAACGGCAACCCAAGCGTCGCACAAAAAATAGCATATATTGTTAGTTTTATTTTGAGAAATGAGCAAGTCAAGTGGCGTACGATAATTTTAACATTAAGTATGGCTCAAGTCCTTAATTTAGACAAAGTTTCATTTCTAAAAAGAATGTAATGTATTTTTAATCAACAATAGAGATAAATGTAAGGTAAGTAAGTATAACGACCGTTTATGTTCGAATTTTTTTTATAAAAAGGATACATATCCCTAAATTATGAATTAAAAACTGTTGGTTATTAACCCTTCTATGTTTGAATAGCACCTAACTTCACTATTTGTTCGATTTAGGAATAAAAATAAGGACAAAAACTGGGACGGATGACCACATGAAAGTAACGTTCGCATGCGACTGCTACACAGGCTATTTATTC